CCGAACCCAGACAATCCTGTCGCCAAGCCGTTCTCTCTAACTCTAATAATTCAAACAATCGAGATTGAAAAATTTGCAATCTGTTAAAATCGACGTCCAACGCTACTCCCCGTCTTTCGCCCATTTTTAACATCTCCCTGTACCAAAATATTTTTTTCAAAATTATCTGCCTAGCCAAGATATAAGGAAGTCTATTCACTGGTAAAAACAATACTCTAATAATATAACCAATGTGCAAACTTAATGTGTAAAAATAAACCTGATCAAACTGACATTCTAGGTGTAATACGTAATTTGGAGTATTTTGAGGCAATCTAAATAATTTTTTGACAAAGTTATTTTGAGCAGATTCAACCGTTTTACTCTTAATAAAACCCCAAACTTGTGCTCCATAACTCAGCAACGCTCTAACTATTGAATTATAACACACTATTTTTGCATTAATCGGCACTTGATTATTACTTATTAAATTACTCCAGATTAAATTAACAGCTAATTTGGAAGCTGACGATTTTTCTTTAAAATGCATTTCCCACGAGAGTGAACTTGTAAAGTTTACTCCTAAATATTTATAATTGTTTACAATTTCGATTTGTTCACCCTTGTACCACCATTTAGAACTGGACCCAAGCCTCCCACCTTTTCTGAAAACCATAATTTTTGATTTAGCTAAATTTAAGCGTAAATTCCAAGTTTCACAGTAATTCTCCAATCGTTTAATCATGTGTTGAAGGCCGGTTGCAGTTGGAGATAAGAGAACGATATCGTCAGCATACATCAGGACATTGACTCTTACTCCACCATAACAACATCCTCCCTCTAGTACATCTGGCAAGTCGTTTATAAAAATAGCAAAATTTGTTGGGCTACATATACAACCTTGCCTTAAACCCATGGAGGTGCTGAAGTGCTCAGTAATTCCCTCCTGACACCACACTGTTGCTTTTGTGCCTTGATAATAATTTTTTAGCATATTTCTGTATTTTGACGACACACCCATACAAGACATTTTATAAATTAAAGCCTCCCTATCTATCGTATCAAATGCACTTGAGAAATCCACAAAAAAAGTAAATAATTTACCCTTTTTTTCCGCTAATTGCAGATGAGCTATACAAGTGAGATTAAAAATGTTATCTATAGTCGAGTAACCTTGGCGAAATCCTGCCTGGAATTCCGTGAACAAACCTTTACCGTTGACCCAATTTACTAATCTGTTATTTGTTAGACTGATAAAAATCTTTCCTACACAGTCTATAAACGACAATCCTCTGTAGTTTTCAACTAGGTTAATATCTCCTTTTTTATGTAATGGATACACTATCGACCTTTTAAACGATTCTGGAACATTCCCAGTTCTGTAAATATTATTAAAAATAGATAATAATTTGATATGAAATGAATCTGGAGCATACTTAAAATATTCATATGGGACTCTATCAATCCCTGGGGCCTTGTTACATTTAACCTTTTTTAGGACGTTTTTCAACTCTCCCATACTAAAGTCGCTATCTAAGAATGCATCTAAAATCAATGGTTCGGCAAACTGTATCTTTCCAGTCAGCAATGGAGGGTTGAGCAACGTTTTAAAATGTCTTACCCAGTCCAAGGGCGTGATGCTTCCAATCCTGTTATTATCTTTCTTTTTAAAGCTATTAACTGCCCTCCAAAACTTATTTGTATCGGTTGCTTGCGTAATACTACTTATTTGAGATTCTAAATATGCTCTCTTTTTATCTTGGCACATTGACTTATACTTTCTGCTCTCGTTAATATATCCAATTCTAAACTGATATTCCCTGTTTTTTCTAAATACATTTAATGACCTAAAAACTCTCTTTCGTTGTAAAAAACAATCAATATCAAACCATGGTTGCCTGAAAGTAAGATTATGTTTTTGTTGCTTTGTAGCATTATCAGTTGAGTCTTTTATTATTTTAATTAAATTAGATATATTATCCTGATTACACTCGCCTATCTCAACAGTCTGAATGTTTACAACAATTTTTTCTCTGTTGTAGAGTGATACAGACAGCTTTGTGCTAGTAAACAAATCGGGGTTGTACAGTGATACAGATAGCTTTGTGCTAGTAAAAATATTTGGGGTTGTAGAGTGATACAGACAGCTTTTTGTGTTAGTAAAAAATCGGTGCTGTACAGTGATACAGACAGCTTTGTGTTTAGTAAACAAATCGGGGTTGTACAGTGATACAGACAGATTTGTGTTAGTAAAAAAATCGGTGTTGTACAGTGATACAGACAGCTTTGTGTTTAGTAATCAAATCGGTTTTGTACAGTGATGCAGACAGCTTTTTGTGTTAGTAAAAAATCGGGGTTGTACAGTGATACAGACAGATTCGTCTTAGTAAAAAAATCGGTGTTGTACAGTGATACAGATAGCTTTGTGCTAGTAAAAATATTTGGGGTTGTAGAGTGATACAGACAGCTTTTTGTGTTAGTAAAAAATCGGTGTTGTACAGTGATACAGACAGCTTTGTGTTTAGTAATCAAATCGGTTTTGTACAGTGATGCAGACAGCTTTTTGTGTTAGTAAAGAATCGGGGTTGTACAGTGATACAGACAGATTCGTCTTAGTAAAAAAATCGGTGTTGTACAGTGATACAGACAGCTTTGTGTTTAGTAAACAAATCGGGGTTGTACAGTGATACAGACAGATTTGTGTTAGTAAAAAAATCGGTGTTGTACAGTGATACAGACAGCTTTGTGTTTAGTAATCAAATCGGTTTTGTACAGTGATGCAGACAGCTTTTTGTGTTAGTAAAAAATCGGGGTTGTACAGTGATACAGACAGATTCGTGTTAGTAAAAAAATCGGTGTTGTACATTGATACAGACAGCTTTGTGTTTAGTAATCAAATCGGTTTTGTAGAGTGATACAGACAGTTTTGTGTTAGTAAAAAAATCAATGTTGTACAGTGATACAGACAGCTTTGTGTTGGTAAAAAAATCGGGGTTGTACAGTGATACAGACAGCTTTGTGTTTAGTAAACAAATCGGGGTTGTACAGTGATACAGACAGCTTTGTGCTAGTAAAAACATTCGGTGTTGTACATTGATACAGACAGCTTTGTGTTTAGTAATCAAATCGGTTTTGTAGAGTGATACAGACAGTTTTGTGTTAGTAAAAAAATCAATGTTGTACAGTGATACAGACAGCTTTGTGTTGGTAAAAAAATCGGGGTTGTACAGTGATACAGACAGCTTTGTGTTTAGTAAACAAATCGGGGTTGTACAGTGATACAGACAGCTTTGTGCTAGTAAAAACATTCGGGGTTGTAGATTGATACAGACAGCTTTGTGTTTGTAAAAAAATCGGGGTTGTACAGTGATACAGACAGCTTTGTGTTAGTAAAAAAAACGGTGTTGTACAGTGATACATACTGCTTTGTGTTTAGTAAACAAATCGGGGTTGTACAGAGATACAGACAGCTTTGTGCTAGTAAAAACATTCGGGGTTGTAGAGTGATACAGACAGTTTTGTGTTAGTAAAAAAATCGGTGTTGTACAGTGATACAGACAGCTTTTTGTGTTAGTAAAAAATCTGGATTGTACAGTGATACAGACAGCTTTGTGTTAGTAAAAAAAATCGGTGTTGTACAGTGATACAGACAGCTTTGTGTTGGAAAAAAAATCGGGGTTGTACAGTGATACAGACAGCTTTGTGTTAGGAAAAAATCGGGAAAAAATTTTTAAAAATCGGATCCATCAAAACCGGATCCAGCCCAAGATCCGGAATTTTTGGATCCGATCCGGTGCCGGTTCTAGCTCGGATCCGGCGGATCCGGTAGTCCGATATCCGGATCCGACCATCACTAGTTTAACCTATGTTTATGTTTTGGTTTTGTTGTTTGTTTGCTGTGTGTGCCTGGTGAGTTGTTCAAAATGGTTCAAAGTGGATTATGATCTCGTTCTAGTGATGTGATGAACTCCATGACTTTTATGGGATTCTTAAGTAATTTAAGTGATATTGATGATGACAGTATTGAAGATGACTTTGATATTGACTTTGGGTTTATATCAATCTATCAATCAAATATTCTTTATTCATAACTTACTTCATAACTTTCTTTATTCATATTATTATACTTCAAGCAATATGGAACATTCATTGTAGGCTTAAATGTATGAATTCTCATGCAAACAAAAAACTCAGTGAACATTTTAGGCCTACCTAAACCTGTGATTGTTGTCTCAATTTAATTTAATAAAATATGTTAAAATGCATGTCTTCTTGAAGTGGCCTATCTTATTTTCCATATAGGCTAACCTAATCTATGTAACTTTAATCAATAGCAATGATTATTTTGCTCCTTTATTTAATAGGGATAACGAGAAGCACACATAAGTTATATGTGTTATTAATTGAATTTTTAACAGGTATCGGTATCGAGTGTGGAATCGAGAATCAAAACCAAAGTTGTAGAATCGGAATCGGTATCGGAATCGACCAATTTAGGGATCGGCCAATCACTAAAATTAAATAAAATAAACAATGGTCAGCTCAGGTAAAGTTTACATAATTGGTGGATTTCTTAAGAGTTGCTCCTCTGTTCAGGCATTTTGGTACTCCCTACTGGAATGTCTGTGGTTTCTAATGAAGATGGAATTAAATAAGAACACATTTTTATAGTTAAAATGCCACGGCCGATGCGGACGGGACTAACACGGGAGTTGGTTACATCACGGGAGCTGCTGGAAGACTGCGAGGAAAAGCCGGGATAATAGGAGCGTGGTCAGGCTGTGTTGTGATTGGTCGGTTGAGGGTGGCGTGATGATCGGACCACGGCAACGGTTTATTTACTCAAACACTGCCATCATGATACATAGGCTATATAATAATGGTCATACTCAGCAGAGTATACTATATGAAATACTTTACACCTACCTTGTGTGTCCACCAGAAAATAGGTATGAAATCCATGCCCTGAAAGGGGTTTTTATTGTATAATAAATAAAATTGTGTAATGTTTTGTGTTAAAGGAACCAGTATAAAGTGCCTTGCAAAACTTAAACCATTTGCTGGTGAAGTACATAGAGGCCAGCTCATTTCCAAGTGTATTGAGCTATGTGAGGTCATGCAATATGAATTCATATTCACCAAGACATGCCAGTCATTGGAAACAGCGTTAAATGAAGTTATGGACACTTTTCTAACATCGGATATCCTTATACCTCAGCAGGTAGGCCTAATACATCATAGTATAGTATATATAGTATATATAGTGTATATAGTATAGTATAGTATAGTATAGTATTTCAGCATCAAATCCTGCTATGATGTGTTGCGCAAGATTGTTGTCTAGTATGAGTTTCTTAATCTTATTATTAATTTCTTATTGAATCTTATTATTCCCCAAGTATGATAACATCAACTTGATTCTTGAGAAGTTCTTTACTGAGGAATTCACAATTTGACCAGCTTAAATTCACTGCTTTAAAATTTCATATTTTATTTACTGAACCTAGATTTTCAAATCCTCGTTCGATTTTGTTTAGTTTAACTTAAGGACTTTTCCTTGGCCTTGAACAGTAAATCTATAGAGTACTAATCCAAGGAATCAAATATTATACTAATCCAATAGTAATGGGGAGCGAGCTGGCGTAGTGGTTAGAGCGCGGGACTTCAGTCCCTGAGGTCCCGGGTTCGATCCCCGCCAAGTCACCAATGGATTTTATCTAAGTGATAATGCCGCAACCCCTAGGTCTAGCCTGAAGTAATGTGAAAAACAATCCCAGGCTCGTGCCTAGCGTCCTTAGGACAAAAAAAAAAATCCAATAGTAATCATGTCAATTGATGTGTTTTAGAAAGTCATGCTAACAGAGGAACAAGAGTGGAGCCAAAGGTATGCTAAGCAGATTGAGGACTCTGGTGATGAGACTGAGGACGACGATCAACACTTAACTTTAAACAACAGAATAGAAGATTTAGGCCCAACTTATAAGGTAATAAGAGTAATCACACTATTGTTAAATTTATATCCTGTTACTTTTTTACTTAACTATCAATGTCAAAGACAGCCTATAATGCTTGCTTATTATAAAAAAAAACTTCTCTGCATATTGAATACAATTCAAAATTAGGACCATAATCCGAATCAATTGGCACTGGACCTGGTTCAAATTGCCAAATCATTTAGATACGAAAAAGTTGTTTTAAAATACTTTATATAAGCTGTTTTGTCAGCTTTTCGCTCGGGTAAACTTTTAAATTGTAAAATAAATTTTGACCTTGACATAGCTGTAAATCTTAGGGATCATAATCAGGTGATGGAAATGAACAACCAGTTGAATTGATCACTTGTCCAAGTACTTAGAAAACAGGCAAGATGCTGCTTTCAACAATTTATTTTGTCCTAAATTGAGTAAAGCACTGTTGTATTTCCTCGATAAACTAAATTTCACTGTAAGGGTGATCACCAACGATGAGGCTATTTAAGGATTTGGATCGTATTTTAAGATGGTTAATTCACTTTCCCGCCGCCATTACTCATCCTCTTTGCTTCACCTTTCTATTTTAAGGTATTTCCTTTATAAGAAACATTTGCTATGGACCATACTGCTGTCAGTGTCTGTTGCTACACATGTAATCCATGTTCTACATTTCTCTTACCAACTCGATCACCTTCAATTCTCTTCCGTTTGTTCAATTACATAGTTAGTGGCCTTGGGAATTTTATTGGCTATTCACATTTGATTTGTATTGTTCTGTAATGTTGTTGGTATATATTATTAGTATTAAGTAGTATGTTTTTGCTAGGTTAACCTAGACAATGAATCCCAGAGGCTGTATTCAACTATGCTGCAACCTTTCATTGATGTCTACACAACTACAGTTCTCAATCTTCACAGGTTGGAAGACAGACAGGTGAGTTTTTTAGCGAATTTCCCCATAGGGAAGTAGGTCTCATGGTAAGAGCGAGGGGGGCCTGGGACCCATTTACTTTTTCATTTGGATGTCATTTGGATGCGCGGCGCCGGACCAAATCAGTATTATGATAGCGCTATCTAAATGTCAATCGTGTATTCGTACCATATTAATGTTTTCTGTGTTCGTGTTCGTGTTTTACATGTGTTTTTGACGAGTTGCAAGCTTTGATAATGTTGTCTTCGCAACGAAACATGTAAGCTGTTGAGCAGTACCATTTTTGGACTATTTGACTGAGGTATGTAAAAAACCTATTATTGTCTTAACAATATAGTCCAGGGGCCAAAAACATGAATTTTGATTAAATCTATTGTTTACGTAACATCACAGTAGTAGGCTAGATTTTTCTACTTTGAAACAGTACTGTAAAAAAACTATTACGCAGCGCCCCTAGTATCAGGAGATAGGTAGTTATTTTCTGCTTTATGTCTGTTCGTTCCAGACGAATCTAATCGTAAAGCAAAACAGCCGATAACGACTAAACTAGTTATCAGTATTGTATCATACGGCTTCTTTGCCATTTGCTGTTAGGTCGTTGGAAACGTATTGCTGTAATTTTGTCCTGGGAAACTAATGGTGGCTATGGAGATTTTGTTTTCTGTCCAAAACGTCAAAATATATATTCTATCCGAAAAAGTCGGATATATAACGGATAGTGTCGGATATCGAATTTGGGCCCGGTTCGGATACGGATATCCGAACCGAACCGAATCCGACCCGATTTTTCGGATATCCGCGCACCTCTAATTTAAGTACTTTATTTTTAACATACATTTTGAGTATTTTCGCACTATGTTTGTTTAAAATTAACATACAAGATTAAAAAATGTAATTTTCTTTAATTTAAAGATTTATTTTTCCTTTACCCACTGTCAAACCATTGGAAATTTTGTAGGCCTACTGCTAGAAAAACCACACCAACTAAGAATAATGGTAATAAACTTACAAAACTAAAGGTGAAAAGGTAGGAAATAAAATTTCAAGTTTTAGAATAAATCTCTATATTAAACTTTATATTGTAATTGCAACCTTAATAACTAATAGATGCAAGTATTGAGTAATTTTAGCCAAGTATTAGCAATATTACTGTACTTATCAATAGGGATTAATGTAGTTAATTTTTAGATAAATAAATATAGGCCTAGGCCTATGCTCACTTACCTATTTTTCACAGAAGTTGAAGATCATTTATGAGCTCTATTGTTGTTGTTTTAAAATTATTTTCTATGCATTATTTTGATATGTTACTACACAAATATCAATAATTAATTAATAATTGTACTTCAGCTTGTAACAATGTTATTTTACAAGTTACATGCTCTAGGCCTAAGGAGTTACTTAAACTTACACATCTTTCGATCTTTTTGGTTTAAACTCGACTCGAACTCGAGAATCGAATCTTTTGTTAATTACTCGACTCGAACTCAACCTTAAAAACCTGTGCTCGCACATCTCTAGATTTTTGTCAAGTTTTACCCCCTGCTCAGGGCCGGATTTCCCAATAGGCCCAGGCCTATGGGCGCAAGCTCCCAGAGGGCGCACGGCCGAGAGGAAAATATTTTTTTTAATATCTAAAAATAAAATAAATAGCCATAGCTTAACATATTTTGCGAGTTGATAAAAAAAAACTCTTGCCAATAAAGCATTATAATTTTTAAATTCATTAGAAGAAATAACTGTTAGAAAATATAAACAGTTTTTCAACAATACCATGCATCAATTTTGGTACAACATTGGTAACTGATATATATTCAATCTAGTGTCAATTAATAATATTCTATTTCCCTATATTTTAATACCAGCTGATTGGTTAATTATTTATTGTTTTCTGTTGTGAGTCAGTTGTACAATTTAATGTTTTTGTTTCAGTGTTTGTACATTTTACAATGTTCAAATATATTTCTCAAATGCTTAACCCTTTGAGTGCCAACGTCCGGGGAACCGGACGTTTTTAAAACGAGCCAAAAGTGCCGACGTCCGGCCGACCGGACGTTCTTAGAACGAGCCAAAAGTGCCAACGTCCGGCTGACCGGACGTTTCGTAATTTATTCATTTATTCATTTATTCATGTAAATTGTCACAAATTACACCATGATAATGATCGAACAGTTGTCATAACAACCAAATGGATACTCGGATTCTTTTAACCCATATATTAACATTGAGTCGAAAGTTACTAGATGCGATACATCGATTTTCGTTTGGTCAAAATATCGAAAATTCGATTTTTACGAAATTTTAACCTAAAAATCGTCAGATCGCGCTCGGCATTTTTAGCGCGACCTTCGGGAAAAATCATCGGCATTTTTTGAGCATTACTTTTATTTCTCGCCTGTCACTCTAAGGGTTAAAGTTTATTTAATTTAGACACAATATTGGCGACGAGGATGAGTGAAATACTTAAGCTTAAAAAGGTATTAACTGCAGTCAAAATTCAAATTAGGAAAGCTTACAATGCAATTGTACAAAATAAAACAGTTAGAGAAGACATGAGTAGTGATGAAGTCACAGTGCGGTTGTCTTCATTACGGACATATTGGAACAGATTCGAAAATGCTCAATCTGAACTCGAATCTTTAGTTGAAGAAGATATTCTCTTCAACACAAATTTTTGTGCCATGTTCAGCAAGACGAATCAACGATGGATTTTTCAATGGAACTGAAGAGACTAGCAAAGGATTGTCGTTTTCAATGTGAATGTGGGAAATTGGTATCAGACATGTTACTAAGAATGCAGTTTGTTAGAGGACTTAAAGATAATGATGTAAGAGGGCAGTTACTACAGAAAGAAACAAGTACTTTCAAAGAATCAGTGCAAGCTGCAATTTCCTTCGAATCCTCAAGACTTGAGAGCAGCATTATATCAAATCCTACAACAGCTGCTGTTCTTAAGGTAACAGGAAGTACTGAAAGAAAAATGCTGCAACAACAACAATATGCAAGCAAAGGCCCAACCAAGAAGACCGAAAGATATCATACAGTTCGCTCTACATTTGACCAACTACGTGGACGGTGCTATCGATGCGGGGATAAATTCCATAAAGATGACAGTTGCAGGTATAAGGATGAATTCTGCAATTCTTGTAATAAGGTCGGTCACTTAGCCAGGGTCTGCATGGCAAAGAACAGAGCTAGGCATATCAACCAGATCGAGGACAGTGAAAATGAAAGTGATATTGACCACGCAACGTACGACACATATAAGATACAAATGAATGGTTCTGACAAGTTCATGGTTGAAGTTACACTAGAAGGAAAGCCAATTCAAATGGAATTGGACACAGGAGCAGCTTTATCGTCGATATCATACAAGGATTATAAGAAACTAAATTTGAGTAAAAAGCTATTTCAAACTCATGTACAACTAAGAACTTACACGGGCGAACTTATCAAACCAAAGGGGGTAGTGTATGTCGAGTTTAACTTCAAAGACAAAGCATACTTCGGTAAGCTGTATGTTATTGGACAAAATGTTGAACCTATTTTCGGAAGAGAGTGGCTTAGGGGAATTAACTTAAAAATTGGGGATATCCGAACTATTCAAGAAAACTCGTGTGATCTTTCTAAACTCCTTACAGAATTCTCTGATGTTTTCAAAAAAGAAATTGGATGTATTCCAAATGAGAAGGTTCATTTATCCCTTCAAGAAGGTTGCAAGCCCATTTTCATCAAACCCAGGCAAGTTCCATACTCACTTAAAGGAAAAGTAGAAGACAAACTCAATCGACTAGAGAATGCCTGTATAATCACTAAGGTAAACAATGCTCAGTGGGGAACGCCAATTGTCCCAGTGGTTAAACCCAATGGATCTGTAAGAATGTGTGCAGACTATAAAACTACACTGAATAAAGTGATACAAGACGTCAAACATCCAATACCTAGGATAGAGGACATTTTCGCAGAAATGAATGGAGGCAAGCTATTTTGTAGCTTGGACATAAGCAATGCTTACCTGCACATGCAAATGGACGAGGAAAGTTCAAATATGCAAACTATAAGTACTGAAAAAGGTCTTTACAAAGTCAACAGAATGATGTTTGGGGTTAAGGTAGCACCATCAGTATGGCAAAGGTTCATGGACAGAATACTACAAGGAATTAGTGGTGTTAAATGCTTCTTTGACGACATTATCATACAAGGATCAAATTATGAAGAAACTGTGCAAAGATTGAAGCTAGTCCTTGATAAAATGAGGGAACATGACCTTAGGTTGAATTTTGAAAAGTGTAAATTCTTTCAGAAAAGGATTGCTTACTTAGGTCATACAATTGATGAAAATGGACTTCAAAAAGGGTCTGAAAAGGTAAAAGCGATTGTTGAAGCAAAGCGACCTCGTGATGTCAACCAATTACGTTCTTTCATAGGTATGACAAACTACTACAATAAGTTCATACCTAAACTGGCAGAGAAACTAAACCCATTGAACAAACTCTTACAGAAGGGCAAGAAATTCGAATAGACTGATGAATGTGAAAGAAGTTTTGAATCTGTTAAAATGGACATTGCCAAAGACAAAACTCTAATCCACTACAATCCGTCATTACCTTTAATACTGTCAACAGATGCATCACCAACTGGCTTAGGAGCTGTAATTTCACACCGGCTAAATGATGGAACAGAAAAGCCAATTGCCTTTGCATCTAGATCACTGAGTAAAAGTGAGAATCAATACAGTCAAATTGACAAGGAAGCGACTGCCATTTATTGGGGTGTGAAAAAGTTCTTTCCATACTGCTATGGCAGGAAATTCATTCTTGTCACAGACCACAAACCTCTTGTATCTATTTTTCATCCTTCAAAATCCCTACCTGCAATGTCAGCTAGACGTTTGTTAAATTACGCTCATTTCCTTGCTGGTTTTGACTATAAAATAGAATACAGAAAAGCTTCAGACCACTCCAATGCAGATTTTCTTTCAAGATTCCCAGTAGAAAAGTTAG